CATATTCAGCAAACAATCCTTGAAACATGAGTGTAAAATGAAGACATTTTCAGATGAACAAAATCTAAGAGAATTAGTCACCAGCAGACCTACAAGAAGGAATAAAGAAGGAAATGATGTATGTGTGAGAAAATATAAAAGACTAGTTTTACTTAGTTTTCTTTTAATTTCCTTAAAAGACAAATGACTGTTAAAACAAAAATCACATCATATTAAAGAGTTTATTAATAGGTGGAAGAAGAACACTAAAATAATTCAAAGGACTAAAGAGGGTGTAAACGCAACTATTGTTAAGGTTCTTACATTCATGACACATGAAATGTAAATAGAATAATATTAAATCTATGTAAACTGTGGTAAGTTAAAGATGCATATTATAATTGAGCAAGTGCTTGAAAAGTACAAAGAGACTGTAGATAAAAAGCCAACAAAAAAAAATAAAATGAAGTGCTATCAAATATTTAATGAACCCAAGAGGGAGCAGGAAAAAAACAAAACAAAAAATGGATCAGAACAAATACGAAACTAACTGCAAGATGACTGACTTAACTCCTATCATATCAAAAATTGTGTGAAATGAAAATGAACAAAACATTCTAATTAAAAAGTACAGATTCTCACAATGGATTAAAAAAAAAGCCTACAAGAAATGGCTTTAAATATATAACCAAAGATGGGTTATAGATTTCACACATATATATTTTTTTTCATAAAAAAAGATAGAAAAAAGATATGCCATGCAAATGGTAAGAAACACACAAGAAAGCTGGTGTGGTTAGATTAATACCAGACAAAGTAGACATTCAGATAGGACTAGTACCATAGATAAAAAGGGACATGTCATAATGAATGCACTAATTCAACGATAAACATAACAATCCTAAAAGTGTATATACTTAATATGAAGGCTCCAAAATACATTTAGAAAAAACTGACAAAACTAAAGGGATAAGTAGACAAATCTACAATCATATTTGGAGACTTTAACACCCCTGTCCTCTTGATAATAAATAGAATAAGTAGACCAAACAAAATAAAACAAAACCAGATCTGAAAAATATGATCAACCAACTTGACCTACTTGATATTAACAGAATACTACCACTAATATCTGCAAATACATGACATTCTTTCCAAGTGCACCTGAAGTGTATTTATACTTAAATATACCATAAAAATGGCCTATAAATTTCTTCAATTTCAAAAGACAAAAGATTTTTACAGTGGATATTCCCTGAGCATAAAAGAATTTTAAATTATACATCAATAACAATAAGATATCCAGAAAAGCACAGAATACTGGGAAATTAAATATTCTGTCGATTTCTCTTTATGTCTGTTACTATTTGCTTTATGTATTTAGGTGTGCCAGTGTAAAGGTTTATTCTAAATAATACTCTAAAAACGTTCTAAATATCAAGAGACATCACAAGGGAAATTAGAAGTATTTTTAACTCAATGACAATGAAAAAACAGCATAGCAAAAAATTGGCTCTTTGAAAAGATTAATAAAATTGCAGACCTCTAGCAAAACTCTTCTACCAAAAAAAAAGGAAAAGAAAGAAAGAAACAACAGGAAAGAAAACAAAAATGACAACACCAGAAGTAAAAAAAGGAGGTATAACTACAGACCCTATAGACATCAGAATATTATGAACTTTATATCAGTAAGTTTGGCAACTCAGTATATTTGTACAATGGAATACCCCTAAGCAAACTCCTTATACACAGAACAACATGAATAGATCTCACAGCTATTATCTTGGGGGTGGAGGGAGAACAAGCACAAAAGAGTACATACTGTATAACTATACGATGTTCTAAAACTGGCGAAGTCAATCTATGGTGATAAAATCAGAGCACTGATTGCAGCTAGGACAGAAGTAAAAAGAGTGGAACTGAAAGCAAAGGGGCACAAAGGATATTTTGGGGATGATGAAAAATACAAATTGTAAGTCATCACATTGGAGACTTAACACCTCAATGTGTATAAATTTACCTCAATGCAGTTGATTTTTAAGGGGAAAAAAATCAATTAAAAATGCCAAAGTAGAGCTGTAACTTATATAAATGTAAATTTAGTCGAAAATTTTTAAAAATTCTTCAAAACATACCTCATTTCTATTATATACCTTCTTAAGAGAATAGGAACCAGAAACTATGGGCCAGGAAGTATGCTGGATGCTTTCACTTATTATACCTTGCAAAGACTGTGTATGTCTTTAACTCATTATAAGGTCAAGCACAGTGCCCTGGGAGACAGCTGTGTTACAGCTGAGAAAGCAATACTCCTGGAGCCAGAAGACCTGGGTTCAAATAATGACTCTTTGTGGTCTATCAGCTTTGTGACCTTAGACAAGTCACTTTTTAAGTTTCTTTATCAACCACAGGGTTGATGTGCAGATTAAGGAATATTATTTTAAAGCATCTGGTAAAGCACACCACAAATACAAGTTTTATTACCCATAGTAAGTACTCAACAGACACTGCTTAAGTGAAGAAATGAAAGAGATAAGGAACAACATGGACAGGGATCCAAGCAGACAGGAAGAGACAGGGGAGAGCATGTATCTACCCACATTTTTTTTTCTGTGGGTGTGTGGGGCAGAGGGTAGAAGAGGGACTTCCTGGAATGATGACCTAAATACCGCGTTCCTATCATGAGCAGTAGGTGCAGTAAGGAGGACAGGGTTGGCTGACCTCCCAGAATGAACATACTTTCATTGCGACCTAGATCACAGCACTCTAGGCTAACAATCCCTTGTCCCAGCAAGGAGCATGAAAAGGGAGTTACCTGTGTACTTAGGACTCAGGGGGCTTCACCCAGGCTCATAAGAGCTGCAGTGAGGCTTCTATTATTGTGGACCTTTGAAATGCCAACATAACAGATGACCCACTGTTTAACGTGTTCCCTTCCTCACCTTAGATTTTCAGAGACTGTGCTCGAAATGAGACAACCAGAGCAGAGATCATCTGGATACAGGGGCAATGAGCACAGCAATAGCTTCATGAATGCCTAGCAGGCTGATTTTCAGTAGAGCCCCAGGGAATGAAGCTAGTCTGACAAGACTCAAAAAGTACATGAGTCTAAAAATCTAGAGGGGGACTACAATAGAAGCCCAGATTGAAGACCTGAGAACTTAGGTATCTTCACCCACGTGCAGAGCCACTGGTAGGGCACCTCAAAATTCAGTACTCAATCACACGATAGTGGGATATTTCATCTGACAGAGGTTTCAACAGAATGTTACGTAGGCACACAGAAGAGATACTGAACCAAGTGGTGAGGGAGGAAGCAGTATTGGGGAAATACTCTTGAAAGAAGGGACACTTGTGCTGAAGCCAAAGATGTGAAGGAACTACTTGGGCAAAAGGCATTCCAGGCAGGGGCCACAGCATGTAGGAAGCCTTGAAAGGTTTGGAGGGTACCATCAGCAGAGAACTATGAGGAATTTCATAGAGCTGGAGCATATGGTGTGAAGGGGAAATGAGGAGCCTGTGGAGGCACAGGCAGGGTCTTAAGAAGGACCTTTACTTTTTTTTCTTTTTTTTCTTTTTTTAAAGATTTTATTTATTTATTTGACAGAGAAAGACACAGCGAGAGAGGGAACACAAGCAGGGGGAGTGGGAGAGGGAGAAGCAGCTTCCCGCTGAGCAGGGAGCCCGATGTGGGGCTCGATCCCAGGACCCTGGGATCATGACCTGAGCCGAAGGCAGATGCTTAACGACTGAGCCACCCAGGCGCCCCAAGAAGGACCTTTTCTTAAAATCAGGCTGAAGGAATTTACATTTTACCTTGACGATTAAGGGAAGCCACTGAAGGATTTTTTGTTGTTGTTTTTTGAGTGGGCAGGCCGGGTGAGGCTTGTGGTGACCCTGACTCTCTGACAGTGATGTGAGAGTGGGGGCAGGGGGTGGAGAGTGCAGCTTCTGGTGAAGACCTTGTGTGTGTGTTGTTTCTTATTTACGGAAGTGAATTATATTTCCCTCACATCTTGCTGAAAAGAAGGCTGCTCCCCTCCGTCACCTCTCTCATTTGCCCTACACCTTCACATTTAAAAGAATCCTTTGGTGGCAAGATTACATAAAGCTCACCGGCTTCTGAGGTGCCCTGCTGGCAAATATGAGCTCAAGTGGACAGGTGCACAGGTATCTTCCTTTGTCTCCAGCTGGGTCCAGAGGCACCGTAAGCCACCGAAGGATTTTAAGCAAGCAGGACCAAAACCCAATTAGCATTTTTAAGAGACCATTCTGGCAATTGTGTGGGAAACAGATTGGAAGGGGACAAAAGCGGAGACAGGGGAGAGCAGTGAGGAGACTGAAGTGATGCGTGTGGGGTACGGCAATGACCAGAGAAGGGAGCACGCAGGATGCAGAGATGATGTGTTAGATACAGTGAAGAGGTAGAGTTCTCCAGACTCATTCGCTGGTTTAGGGGAAGATGAGGAAAAGAAGGAATCAAGTCTGACTCCCAGGTTTCAAGCTTGGATGTATGAATGGACAGGCCTGCTGTTCAAGGAGATGAAGAATAAGTCAACCTGCATTTCAAAGTATAAAAAGCAATGATACGGCGCCACATTTAAAAGAAAAATTAACACAAACAAAAGCACAGGCTGCCTGAACCAGTATAGATACACATCTCTGAGAAAAATCAAACACTTAAATTCACAGGGAGAAATAAGTCAGGGTTAAAGAAATTCCTGTCTAACATATGTTGATGAATGAATAATCAAAGAGCAACAAGAAGGCAATTCACTAACAAGAGAGCCATCTACTGTCTTATAAGGATAGTGCAGCGATGAAATGCCACAAAAAAACGTGCAAGAAAGCCGTTTGTGACCACTTCACACTGTACACGTATTCACAAAATATCTGGGTCCTCCCACCCAAATTTCCAAGTGGTTAGCATGTTTTAGCTAATAGCCAAATATTTTAGCTTACTTATTTCTCCTAAAAACATCAATTCAATAGATATCGTCATTTGAATATAGAACACTTACCTGCCATCATTGCTATCATACTGGCTTTATAGACATTAGTAAGAGATCCAAGTTCTCCTGTTGCTAAGATGGTTTTGAGATGAGCCTCCCCACAGGCCTTGCGAAACTGACGAATCTCCTCATACAGGGCTGGGGGAAGAAGGAATTGAAGCAGTTACAAAGCAGGCAAGTGATAACATAACTTGGCAGCCATGTGCAGCTGGTAGAACCCATCTCGGATTCAGGAAACATAAAACATTTGTCACTTTCTAAAAATCACCCCAATTTAATATCGCCTACAGCATTCTGTTGCCGTTCACATCCCGTTATAAGAAATGCTTAGTTTGCTACCGTGGAACTTTCTAAGCCCCTGCCCAAGGTCCAGAGCCACGCAGCTTTTTAGGTATCGTTCTAATGACATGCAAATTACAAATAATTTCTACCTCTCCCATATGTTACAAGAAAAAAGACATTTATCTATCATATATGGGGGTGTCCCACTTTGCAAACTAAAAAAAAAAAAAAATCCTCAGGTCCTTATTAATTCTTCCATTCACACATAATAAGTTCTCTTGTTAGAATCTAAAGCAGGCCTTTCCTGAGAGCTCTGCTAATGACAATAAAGACATAACCACCTTCCCCACTATCTGCCAGGGCATGTGTCTAAATATCTGACAAAAAAGCATCAAGCCTAGCCAGGTATGCTGGATGTATGTGCACAAAGCCAGTTGTAGAGAGACTCGCAGGTGCAGTCTTGAATCTATTAACCCCTGAACCCAGTACCAAATCTGGCTTTTGAGGGCTCCACATTGCACCCTGAAAGCAGCTTGATTAAAAATATACATACACCAGGGATGCCTGGGTGGCTCAGACGGTTAAGCGTCTGCCTTTGGCTCAGGTCATGATCCCAGGGTCCTGGGATCAAGTCCCACATCGGGCTCCTTGCTGAGCAAGGAGCCTGCTTCTCCCTCTGCCTGCCTCTGTCTCTCTCTCTCTGATAAATAAATAAGATCTTTAAAATATATATATATATACAGACACCAAAGAAAAACGCAAAACTATACTCAACCACAAAAAAAGAATCAAGGGGGAAAACACTTCATATTCAAACAAAACTGACAGACTTTTAGTAAACAAAATCAGTTTAATGAGTATGAAATTTTTGAAAAATTACTTAACATAGTCTTCTGTCATGATACCAGTGGATTTTGGCTTTGACCCTGCATCAGGTCAGCTGCACTCATTCCTTGAACTTGGGCTATTACCACACTAACAGGACTATCAGGGCTTTTTTGTTCCTCCGTATATGTGTATATTTTGTAGGAAATAAGCACATGGACGAAATTGAGCAGGAAAGAAACATTCATAATAAGGGTTAGGGTTAGGGTAAGCAGTTTTTAATGTGGACATGAGACTTCCTTAATTCACAGGTTTATTAAAGTACATGTAAAATACTAAAAATTAGTCACAAGTCAGCAAACTCAGTCAAAACCATGAAAATTATAAGAAGGTGAAGAAAACCTGGCTTCCCAATCCTAGAAAACCTGAACTTAACTTGAAGCTCAAAGTTAAAACTGAACACAAATAAAAGCAAATATTCTATTACAGGATGCTTGGCAAATTTTAGTGTTTGTCACTGTCAAGAGATGGCACCCACAGAAGGTTTTTCAAGAAAGGACTGAGTATTTTCATAAATCCCTAGTAATCAGTGGTTTGGAGCATTAGAGATGATCTCAGATGCCACACTGACTACCTCACCCTGCCCATCCTCCCCAAACCGTGAGAAGTCATCTCACCCAACATCCAATATGAAAACGTGTGAGGATGGTATAGACAGCAAAGACTAAGTGGCAATAACAATTTATATTCTTTTAACTCAGGGAACAAATCTTGGATGGAATGACATTTTTTGAGTTACTGAATCTAAAAACAGAAAGTTGTTCGCTAAGAACTGGTGACAAGGAAATCTCTTGATCTGAAAATTCAAGAATGCTAACCCAGAGTTAACCTGAGACTTAATTAATGATTCTTCTTCCACAGTACAGCACTGCGATCAAAAGCAGGCTCGAGAGTCAGACAAATGTGGATTTAAAACCCAACTCCATCCCTTCCTGCTTGATCTTGGGTAAGTTATTCTCTCAGCCTCAGTCCCCTCCTTAAAGTGTCAATAATAATACTTTATTGGGTTATTATGAGGATTAAAAGGGAAGATATATACAAAATGCTCTACACGTTGTCTGGCTGATTGTAAGCACTAAGAAAGTTTAACCATGACTCTTAAGCTCAGAATTCTAGGAAAATGAATTTCAATTAAGTGTTGTGTGATAAAAGCCAAATCTTATTCGTGGCCTGACCCAACCCCTTGTACTGGACCAAAATCTTGTTATATGGATTAGTGCTTACAACCAGTGAGTCATCAGATAAGGCTTGAAAATGTTTTATTACAACATTTGTGGAGGTGAAGTCTGATCTGTACAAAATTCTTAAAACAGTGATCCTGATCATATTTATGAACAAAACCATCAGCCCTTTTCTAAAAAGTATCACCTTTTGATACCCAGTCAATTTCTTCATCTATCGTTAAAATTAACTAGGAAAAAAAAAAAAAAGATGTATTTTATGACTCAATCATCAGCCACCAAGTGATGCTCTGTAATCCATGATCCAAACTGGTCACTCGGAGGGTAACTGGATTTAAACAAATACGTAACCCAGTGCCTTCTCATTCTCTACCTGCCAACTCCTCAAATCATTTTACTGACCTATTCCACCACATAACAGGGTCCAGTTTTTCTGAGCAAGTATCTTAATCTTTAGAGTTCCACGCTGGAAAGTTGTCATTTTCTTTCCTGTTACTATTCTGCCCAGAGTATACCAGAACAATTCAATCAAAAAGTATATACCAAACCTGTCCTTTGTATAATGTGACCTGAATTCCATCAAGCAAATGCTTCTACCTGGGCCTCTGAATCTTCCTGAGTGATGCTAAGATGACAATACAGTCAGGATGTTCATTAGTATTACTACTGCAGGATCACCGATGGCAGCAGATCCAACAGCGCATAACCCAGGGGCCACCAGCCAGTGGTGGCAGCACCAGGAGTGGCCTCATAACCACTCTTCCCGTGGCACATCCGGCCGTGTTCTCTGTGCCCCAGTCTTTCATGGTCCTGCTTGTTTTCCAAGCCTGGTTCTCCAGGCTTCTTACTGACTCAGTGAGCTACTCTATGTCCGCCCAATAGACACCTTTTCCGTTTAACTTAATCTGAATTGGTTTCATTAGTTTCCAACTCAGAATTTTAGTACAACAAATACTTACTGAGAAGTGTGGTATAAGTGTGGGACAATAGAGCGTGGGTGCCCCACTCCCTGCGTTCATACTCCAGTTCCAAAACTCATTTGTTATTTGATTTGGGCAATTACCTCAAACTTTGTCTCTGTCTCCTTTTCAATAAAATGGGGATAATAGAGGTATGCACACCTCAAGGAGTTATTTTAAGCATTAAATAGGCTAATATGTATAAAGTGCTAAGGACAGTTTCTGGGACATAGGTTAATGTTCAGGGAAAGTCAGCTACTTGTTTTCCTGTTTCTGGCCTTGGGGGTGGTGCTGTTACAGTTACTGCTGAGTGTTTATTAGGTTCTGACAGAGAGGGACTTATAAAAGCAGGGGATACTGTGACCTACGTTTCCTTCTTTTTTTTTTTTTTAATTTTTTTATTATGTTATGTTAATCACCAGACATTACATCATTAGTTTTTGATGTAGTGTTCCATGATTCATTGTTTGCGTATAACACCCAGTGCTCCATGCAGAACGTGTCCTCTTTAATACCCATCACCAGGCTAACCCATCTCCCCACCCCCCTCCCCTCTAGAATCCTCAGTTTGTTTCTCAGAGTCCATAGTCTCTCATGGTTCATCTCCCCCTCCAATTCCCCCCCCCTTCATTTTTCCCCTCCTACTATCTTCTTCTTTTTTTAACATATAACGTATGATTTGTTTCAGAGGTACAGGTCTGTGATTCATCAGTCTTACACAATTCACAGCGCTCACCATAGCACATACCCTCCCCAATGTCTATCACCCAGCCAACCCATCCCTCCGACCCCCTTCCACTCCAGCAACCCTATTTCTTTCCTGAGATTAAGAATTCCTCATATCAGTGAGATTATATGATATGTGTCTTTCTCTGATTGACTTATTTCGCTTAGCATAATACCCTCTAGTGACCTATGTTTCTTAAAGAACATAAACACAACCTCTCTAGGGCCTAGAAAGCAGGCTGGGGGACAAATGTTTACTATATCACAAACATTTTTTTAACTTGGAGCCCATGCTCCCAGACTTCTAGGATAAGAGTTTTGCTACGTGCTAGTTATGCAAATTTATAGGAATCATTAAAATTTCCTATGCCTGATCACTTAGAGAGCCGCAGTTTGCTCACATATTTTTGTGAAGATTAGATAAAATAATACATATGGCTAGAACAGAACAAGGCAGTTAGTAGGCATTTAATCATTCAATACTAGATTTCCAAACTTTTCCTTATATACTTCCAGAAATGCAAAAGTAACTTTGAAAAACAAAACGGAACAGGCACTGTCTTAATACTCATGAAGGCATAATTAGAATTCACAGATTTAACATGTAAGGAAAATAGACCACTTTACTCCAACACAAACCATGGAAGCCACAAATAAGCATTATTAGTGTCCAGGTAGTTTTAAGCACCCTGGCATCACAGTGATAGATGACATATATGCAAATCCAAGTGGCTTGATGGCTGAAATGTAACCTAGACAATCTCGAATCATAATGTCCTTTAACATACTCAACTGTCACTTTCCTTTCAATATAGATGAGTAAAACAATGGAAAAACGAATGGGTGGATTTTCCTCCACATCAGCAGGAAAGGAAGCAGCAGGATGTGGATTTATATAATTGCTCCCGGAATACACATGTGAAGGAAATTACAGTGGAATTAACAAGTTCAATAGATCCTCTTTCCAAAAAACTCTTCATGAGGAGCAGCTACTCAAAAGAATGAGAAACCCCCTAAGTCTTCAAAGCATCTTCCTTCAACAATGCTCAGTGTTTTCTTCACATCAGTTAAGTATCCCTGTGGGGTAGCTGGCAATTACCTCCAC